GCTAACTTTGCGACCGCGTAACTCCGGTATCGTTCGAGCACCTAATTCGAAACTCTATATCTAAATACTAGAACGTATGACAAGTGTTTTAAAGCGGTTACGCAACAAGCACCTAATTTTTTTACTTACGGTTACTCTTGTGCGCACGAACGCTTCCAGCGACTAAGTCCCGTCATACGCTAACTTTGCGACCGCGTAACTCCGGTATCGTTCGAGCACCTAATTTGAAACTTTATATCCGAATACTATCACGCATTACAATCGTTTTAACGCTTACACCGATTAAACACCTAAGGTGATTAGTCTTGTGCGCACGAGGGCGTCAAATTATATAAAATAATTGGTTTTATAATAAAATTTATTTACAGTAAGGTTTTTGCAAAATTATCGTTTTTGCAATTTTAGGTGTACATGTGCAGCAGTCACGGGAAGAGAAGATACACTAAGAGAGATTTATTTGTGTGGTTATATGTTTACATATAATGCTTAATATAGAAGTGATCTGGAACATCATAGAGGATAGAATATGTAATGATGTATATATATATATACATATATATATATATGTTATTATAGTTGTAACTCGTCGATAATTGGAATGTTAAATAAACGGCAGTACGAGTATTATACAAGTTGTCAATGTATCTTATTTATTAGAAAATAATATGAAATCAGACGTTTCGATCAATCTTTGTGATCTTCATCAGTGATAGTCTGTTAAAAAATTATAATAATATGTCAAAATAAAACTTTTTTACAAGGATTGAACTACAATAATTAACAAAACAATTCTCTTAATGTTTCTTACTCACAAAATCAGATTAGGCGTCATATCACTATCCAACAAGAACCAAGTCAGTGATGCGTGTGTGTGTTGTTATAACATTTGACTGGTTGAAAAGACAACAGCGATATGACGCCTTTACAACAAGCGCAAGTATATATATGTTTGTCCCCTCCAAATATCACAAACATGTGAACACAATACACAGAAACAATTCAAACCCGAAACACATACGCTATTGATTGTCTAAATTTTCTTTTTGTAAGTCTCCAAAATTGAAAAATATGGTTTTAATTTTTCAGTGTCAGACATAATATTAATTGGATTATCTTGTAATTTAATATTAATCATTTCTGAAATGGCTCTCTTTTGATAAGATTTTTCTCTATCTAATATTGTTGTCTCTTGCCAATTGAAATTATGTCCTGTATTTTTTCTGTGTTCAGTGACTACTGACTGATTAACGTGTGGTCTGTTTATTATTAAATGACTATCCTTTACACCTCATTTTTAACATTATTAACAAACGTATCAAATATTTATTTACACATAATAACAAAAATACTCCTGTATCAGCGACGTCTGATGAAATAAAAAGGTTTTTTACGATCCCTTACATTACCAAATTATCTCAATCAATAACAAAAACATATACGAATATCAAGGGAATCTCATTCGCTTACAGAAGTCTTAACAAATTGAATACATACATCAAAACGTTAAAAGATCCGTTAGTTTTAGAAGACAATAAAAATGTAGTTTATCAAATAAAATGCGACAATTGTAACGCAACATATGTGGGCCAAACAAAAAGAAAATTAAAAACGAGGTTATCCGAACACAAGAACCAAATAAACAGACCACNCGTTAATCAGTCAGTAGTCACTGAACACAGAAAAAATACAGGACATAATTTCAATTGGCAAGAGACAACAATATTAGATAGAGAAAAATCTTATCAAAAGAAAGCCATTTCAGAAATGATTAATATTAAATTACAAGATAATCCAATTAATATTATGTCCGACACTAAAAAATTAAAACCATATTTTTCAATTTTGG